AGAGATTCTATGGTTCATTGCTTGGTGGCTAAGTCACCCTCTCCCTATAAATAGAAGGTTCTATTGTATTGTAATTTATCCCAAATTCAATAAGAATTTCCCCTCTCTCTTTCTCTGCAATATTGTTCTTTTCTTTTATTATTTTATAACATTCTAAGATTAATATCATTAATAGAATTGTTATCTTATGCGAAATTCATGTGAAAGAAAAAAGAGAGTAAAAAACCAATGGCTAAAAATTCGTTATTTTGAAAAAACCATCGCACAAGTGCCAACTTAATTGTGGTCACTTTCAACTCGTGGAGATACCCAACAAGCTTCAGCCACGTCAAGTCAATGACACTCTAATTACAAATGCCTATTTTTAATTCGTCCACGTCATTGAACGTAGCCACGTCGGACTAAGACCAAACGCTGCCCTACGTATCTACCAAAATCCTCTCGCCAGTATAAAACAGCTTTCATCAGAGATCTCTCATAGTCAGTATTTCGATCTCACAACAGTGGCCATGGCTACTCAACGAAGGGCAAACCCTAGCTCTCTCCATCTGATTACTGTATTCTCTCTGCTTGTCGCTGTCGTCTCCGCTGAGGTATTCTTCGAGGAGAGTTTCAACGGTAATTTTCTTCATTCTCTCTCTCTTTTCGTCAGTTTAATCGATCGCTATCATTTGAATGAATTTTGGTATTACATTTGTTTTGGAGTGTGAAAATCCGAATTTAATTGGTGTTTTTAGTGTGATCTGATAGGAGCTTGAAATTTCGAGGTAGATCTGTGAGTTTTAAGGTGATAGGAGTAGATCGGAATGTTTTTTTTTGACGTGTTAAGTTTTTTGCATTTTATCTTTGTGATTATTACTCGATTTATTGAATGATGCTTAATCTGATTGCTATCGGGTATCTGTAGCTTTTCTCACGGAAGTGTACCTTGCATTTTGTGCTTTTGTTCGTCTGGTGGCATGTGATGAAATTAGAAGTTTATTCATGTAAACGAGCTAAATTCGTAATTGTTAGATCTCATCCGGTTTTCTGTATTACTAAAAAATCATGGCTTAAAGCTCCGCATAACTAATATTAGATCTTTATATATAATGTTATACAGAATAAATTTTGGAACACAAACATGATTATTAGAATAAACGGATCAAATTAATTCTTGACTTTTCTGTATTATAATTAGTGCGCCGTATGCGGTCTTGACTTTAGTTGGCCAGTCTACTGCATATGGTTGATGTGTATATGTTTGTTGAGTCTGCAATCAAAATAGTTAGCATCAATTAACTAAACGTTTGGCTGAATAGCAATCAATACTTACTGTTTGATCCTGAATGCATTTTAGTGTTGCATTAAGTTACTTAATTAGTGTGAAGTCAATGCTTGTATGCTGATATTCTGTGGTCTGCTCTGCGACAATGCAAATTGCCAAGTATAAATGGTTCAAACTATTATTCGATTTTTAGCACTGGGGCTAATAAGGTTTGCTTCTTGAACTTTTAGATGGTTGGGAAAGCAGGTGGGTGAAATCTGAATGGAAGAAAGATGAAAACATGGCTGGAGAGTGGAATCACACATCTGGCAAGTGGAATGGAGACGCTAATGACAAAGGTCCGTGATTTATTCAAGCTATAAGCCTTTGATATCTAAATCTAATTAACAGGAGCTGAATAATGATATGTTTAACTAACTCTTATTTGTTTCTGCACTGCGGCAGGTATCCAAACCAGTGAAGACTACAGGTTCTATGCCATTTCAGCCGAGTTCCCTGAATTTAGCAACAAGGGAAAAAACTTAGTGTTCCAGTTCTCTGTGAAGCATGAGCAGAAGCTTGACTGTGGTGGTGGGTACATGAAGTTGCTTAGTGGGGATGTTGACCAAAAGAAATTCGGTGGTGACACTCCCTACAGGTAACACATCTTATTTTCTTGCTACTTGAAGTATTTTTTTTCTTTGAAAAATGTGTTGTCATTCAGATGAATTTACTTTTTGATATATGTTTCCATACAGCATCATGTTTGGCCCAGACATCTGTGGCTACAGCACCAAGAAGGTCCATGCTATTGTCACTTATAATGACACAAACCACTTGATCAAGAAGGAAGTACCTTGTGAGACTGATCAACTGACCCATGTCTACACTTTCATCCTCCGCCCTGATGCTACATACAGCATTCTCATTGATAATGTGGAGAAACAGTCTGGTAGCTTGTACTCTGACTGGGACCTTCTCCCACCAAAGACAATCAAGGATCCAAGTGCCAGGAAGGTAATTGACAGTTCATGACATTTTCATGGTCAATTGTTGTTTATCTTTTTTGTGGTGTTAATGATCAAGTTACATGTGTATGGCAGCCTGAAGATTGGGATGAGAAGGAATTCATTGATGATCCTGAGGATAAGAAGCCAGAGGTATCCTTCTTAATTTGTTTGTGGTTTGTCTTTGCCATAATTTAAAATTAGAGGAAGACAACAATCAACAAATTCAATTTCTATAAATGCAGGGCTACGATGACATTCCAGAAGAGATAACTGATCCTGATGCCAAGAAGGTAACCACTAACCAGATGAGATTTGCTTATACAAGTTTGGAATTAGACTAAAATATTTTAATTTCTGATGGATTTTTATATTTGCAGCCAGAGGACTGGGATGATGAAGAAGATGGTGAATGGACAGCCCCAACAATTCCCAACCCCGAGTACAAGGGCCCATGGAAGCCAAAGGTTTGTGGAGTCAACACATTTAAGCTGAGTGACTTATCCCAGAGTATGATACCTAATGCTTAGTCATTCATTTTTTCAGAAAATTAAGAACCCCAACTACAAGGGGAAGTGGAAGGCTCCTTTGATTGACAACCCAGGTTCTTTCAGTTGTCTATACAACATTTGTGTATTTTCTATGAGGAATTTAATATCATAATTATTGATATCTATGTTTTTTAATCTATAGACTTCAAGGATGACCCAGATCTCTATGTTTTCCCAAATCTGAAGTATGTTGGAGTTGAACTGTGGCAAGTAAGAAAGTTTCCTTTTCTTGTGTTATCTGGCTGTACTCCCTGTACCAGTTTGATTTACTGCATATGCACTTATTCTTCCTCCATGGCATCTTTTTGACTGAAAGTGTAATATACTTTGCAGGTGAAATCTGGAACCTTGTTTGACAATATTGTCATATGCGACGATCCAGAGTATGCCAAGGCAATTGCTGAAGAAACATGGGGAAAGCAGAAGGATGTATGTAGTTCCCTTACGTGAATTGTTGTAGAAATATTGAGTCTTAGTATCTTACATTATCTTGATTATGCAGGCGGAAAAGGCTGCTTTTGAGGAAGCAGAAAAGAAGAGAGAGGAGGAGGTAATAATTGATTATTTATTCTTTGTGCTGATTTATTTCTTATTCTACAACAAGTTCTCTCTTTTTTTCTTCCTAATAACTTATTCCACAACAAGTTCTCTTAGGCATCAATGTCAAACTGATATACAAATTAAGCAGTTCTTAGCTACAGATAGGTGGGAAGTATGCACCACTTGACCTCCTCCCTCCCCCCC